TGGGCTCCTGCTGCTTACCTGGACTCTTACCTATCATTGTCACTGGTTTCACCTTTCACCTTTCAACAGATTGAACTTGCAAATATAGGATGCTAGGCACAAGTTCTGAGAATCTAAGTTGCTCCTGGCAAGGTAGTGGTGTGGTGTAGCAGCAAAAACAATGAAATGAGAATCCTGGTTTTCTGGTTTTGGAACTGGCACTCCCAAGTGCCTTGGACAAACCCTGTTAACTCCATGTGCCTCATTTCTCCCACTGGGATAACTGTGGTAACCTGACCTAAAAAATAATAATTAAGAAAGCATTTGGAAACATATGACATATTTTGAAAGGTGTGAACCCTTGATCTGCTTACAAATGGCCCTAGAATTCTTCTTTAGTCATTACTAATGTGTTCTTATCTTAAATCCTTTCTTTCATAATTCTATGTCCTCTTCCATCAATTTTTGCCTCTGGCCCTCAGTTTTCCATGGTTGATCTTAAATATACAAGCGTTATCTTCCTCCTGTGTTCTCTGACTGGGCAGTATCTCTTCTGCTTAGTTCCTTAGGCTGCTTCTGCTACAAACTTTTGCTTTCATTCTTAACCAGTGAAATGCAAACCTCACTATATCCAAGAAGTATATCAACATCCAGGCTGAACCAATTCCAGGCAGGCCCCAGAAAATAGTTCAAATGTGTTTTTAAAAGATTATACAATCTTTTAAAAATGCAGATTGGATCCTTCCATCCCTCACTGTAAAATTATGTGATGGTTTCTTATAACTTACAGAACAAAGTTTAAATTTCTTGGTCTCAAAGCCTAGTTTGGGTTTTTAAGACACTAAGTCATCTGGAACTGCAGGTCTAATTGTGCATCCCCCCTCACTTCTTAGATTGTACAGTAAAAAAATTACACTGAATATTTAATCTGTTTGGAATTTTTCGGAGAAATAGAGTTATTATTGTAATCATTAGTCAGGTTTTTTTTAGGGAGAAAAGTGGAGAACAGAATTGAGTAAATGCTTGTTAATGCTGCATATATATCAGTACTTGGATTAACAAGACATTTGAAAGATCAGTACTTTATATATCTTATACAAACTGATTTAAAATCTTGAGTTATACATATCTAGATTGCATCTAGTGTTTAATCAATTGGACAGTTACAAATAATGGGTAAACGATTTGTTGTCATACAGAGTTGAGTTCTGCTTTTCATGCAGTAAGAATAACATTTTTTATTTTAACACTTATGCAATTGATTGTAAACTTTGGGGTGATATAATTTAAATGGATCTAAACAGCCCATTAGCTATGTCAGTGCCTGCTCTTGCCAAGCTGTAGTTTTATGCTAAGCTGTTATGTACTGTGTTGCATAATCATCTGCGTTCATTTTCTCCAACTATTTAGCTTGAATACATATAAGGTGACTGCATTGTCTCTTCAACCTCCTTTTCAGTGTAAACATCAAGGATAGAACAGAGATTTGGGGCACTATTGGATTTTTCTAATGGAGAGTTCAAAGAATTGAATGGCCTTAGAAATGTGTGTTTGTCACTATTTGGTTTTGGCCCCTTTGGTTACTTCACTGCCAACTTAATATGGTTTTCAAGGTGATAAGAAAATGCTCGAATGTCAGCTACCAGCAGGAAATTAAGATAGATCAGGGTTTTAGGAGAAAAATAATGTCAGTTGTGAGAGTGTACGAAAGAATAATTTCTTTAAGATCCTTACTTTTTCTCCTTCCTTCTCCTTGATTTGCTCTTTTGAAGACTGGGCCATGCCTTACCAGTGCCTCTTGTCCCAAGAGGGAAAGTAACTCGTGAATTAAAGCTGAAACAAATTTGCTTATGTAGAATATGATTCAGAGGGGAGCTTTCAGTTGCTTATTGTGTAATGACGTATGGAGGAGATAACCCAACAGTTAGAGTGAAGCTGAAGCTGTTCTTGTATCCCCCTCTGGTCCAGGGAAGAGGTAAACTGAGAACATTCTTCATTGGATGGAGAGATTGGGAAGGTTGTGAACTGTTACAGCAGTTTTCATTAAATATTTGCAAAGGAGAGCTCTTGGCTGTATAAAATATTCATTCATATATTTGTATGGAGATTAACATAAATATGCGTATGATTTGCATTGGCCTTTTCTTTCTCACACCAGTTTATTTCTTATTTATTTACTGTGATATTCTCCCTTTCTACACTGATGCAATTTTTTTCTATGGCCTTCTGCGTAAAATAAGTTCTTTTGTTTTAAACACACCCAGATTCCATAGAGGAAAGGGAAATGTTTCTTTAGTTGAGAATGAGGTATTTACATAAGGTGAAGGGGACTGGTTTCTGGCTCAATTTATCCAAGGTTTGGGATGGTTTGTAAGTCCATAAACAGTTCCATGGAATCATCAGTGGCCTTTGACAAATGGGGTAGGAGCATGTGAAATTTCCAGAGTGATGGGCAAGAAAGAAAGGTAACTGATATTTAGAGAAAATCTCAGAGGTACTCCAATTCCAGAGTACTGCAAACTAATTATGTCATCTTGGGCATCTCACTTATTTCCAATCCTCAGTTTCTTTCTTCATAAAATAACAGCATTAAATCAGGCAATCTCTAAAATCTCTTGTAGCTCTAAAATTTATTATTTTGACAGATTCCTTGCTCTAATTATATGAAAAATATTAAGCACCATGTAGCACGTTAAATAATATCCTGGTGTCTTGCTGTTCTGTGTCAGGCTTTCTCCCTTTGAAGGGTACTCGATGATTAATTTAAGCTTCTCTTCATAGGCACTACTTTCCTTGCTCATTTATCTCAGTTCAGTGGGCACAAAAGGTATAACATAAATGTTTGTAGAAGACACCCATTAATATATCACGTGTGGTGCCAAGGACATGCATAGTAGTTGACTCTGCACACATCCACGTCTGTAGCAAAAGAGCTTAGTTGTGATAACTCATTTGGTTAGACATCTTCTACCCTAGACCAGGGTCGTCTCCAGGTATCCTGAACAGGAGCTTGTCCAATTGCATTTTCTCAAAGCTATTTCTTCAGAAATTGAGAGGAGAGATCATGACAATAGACAGACCACTAGGGGGTTATTGGATAGATCTATTTCAAACATGCAGACAGTGTCAAATTTCTGCTTTATGGTTTCTTGGGGCTACTTTTGGTAAAATGCATTGGGTATGAGTTATATGCTAATTGCTTATATATGTTCAAGTTACCCTGCGGTCATTTATAGGTGGACAGGACCCTTTTGCTTATATCAGTGTTTGTGCAAACAGAAATATGTAGGTAGACACATATCACCGGGGACCTCAGGATCACACAAGAGAAAGTTGATCTCTTCCTTGGCTCTCTGGAGTATAAAGTGGAGGTTCGTGTTTTAAAATTCTCATAATGCTATGATTAATTTAGTGAGTGGTTGTTCTCCACATTATAAGAATACCTCCTTCAAAGCTCTTACCTCATGATGAGAAAATAATATATTTTAAAATTTTGCTTCAGAAATTTTCCCAGGGCTGTGATGCCTGATAGGAATCTGAGTTGCAATGGACTTGGCTTTGGTGAATAAGGTTGTAGTGTAGTCTGGCAGGGAAAATAGAATTCTTTCAACCGTGTTTTGTAGCCCCTAGTCTTTAGAGGGAAACTGCATATCTAAACTGTTGTTGCCAAATTTCTTTTATTAATGAGGGGATTTTGATCGCTTTTGGCCATTCATGAAATAAGCCATTCTAAGTGAAGCCATCTGGCAAGAAGGACAATGGAAGCCCACAACGCTGTGTCACAGTTATAAATCACATCAACAAATGATTAAATAAAATATATTTTATCCTCTTATCTTGACAAGTATACCTTTGTAACTACCTGGAGACACAGGTTCAGCCTTAGAATTTCTGGATTCCTTGGAGCTCTGCATTGGGAAAAAGCAGCACAGGGAGAACCAGCCACCCGCTGGTCCCCCCGATCCATGGCTTGCCCCCTTCTTTTCCCACCTGTGGCTCTGTTCTGTATCACAAAGGGGATGGTATTAATGCCGGTGGATACCTTGGCCCACAGGGACAAGCCCTGTCCACACGTCTGCAAAGGGTCCCCCATGACTACTCCTCAGATCTTGAGACATGTGCAGTAGCAGCATGGTTTACCTTCTGAAAGACAGGTCCAGGGCAGAGGCCTGCACAAGCCCTGGAAACAGGCTTGGAGCAATTTGGGAAGGAAAGCACAGGGTCTCAGTCCTTGAAATATAGTCTTGAATGAGAGTATGGGATCCAGTAGAATGCCCTGTGGATCCCTAGTTATGTGGGGAAGAATATGGCCGTAGGACAGTCCGACGAGGGTCATCTAAAACAAGAGACCCCAGAGTAGAAGTCCCTTTTGCTTGAGCTTAAGAGTGATCTTGCTGTCTTATTAAAGTATATTACCAAATTTCATTCTGTTCCCCTTTCCTCACCTGCTCAACCACCTTCTCAGGTCCAACCTCCCACTTAATAACCCAGCCATGCTCTGTTGGGCCCAGGACCCTACCATGGAAACCAAAGATAGCTGGGTTATTGATGGATGGAAATCAGAGCCACATCTTTCAGGGTAATTGATTTTCAGTTATTGGTCAATAAAATGTACCTAGAGCTGAGGAGGCCTTTGTCAGGACAGTTAATTATCCATTAGAAACCAGCTCTGCAAAAAGCCCTATTACTGAATCAAAAGCAACATAAGCCTTGACCATTCTGCATGAAATTTCCCTTTTGGATTTTATTTGAGAAAATTTGAAGGAAAGGCAACAAGCTGTCCTGCACCACCTCATTTTTCTTCTACCCTTGTGTAGCTGCATCATTTCTCTGCGGCCATCTTTGTGGATAATTTCCCTGGCATTTAGATATAGGGATTTTGGAGGGTCAAAGAGAGTGTTTTGTTGGCATCAGCACAAGGACAGAGGTAGTGTCCTTGTGTTGTGTTCTCTTTGGTATTTGCATAGAGCTGACTGTTGCCAGTCAAGGGCTGACTGCTTTCCTCTTTTCTTTTTGTATAGCTCGAGAGGAGAATGTGGCCACTTTCCGAGGCTCAGAGTACCTGTGCTACGACCTGTCTCAGAACCCCATCCAGAGCAGCAGTGATGAAATCACCCTCTCTTTTAAGACCTGGCAGCGTAATGGCCTCATTCTGCACACGGGCAAGTCAGCCGACTATGTCAACCTGGCTCTGAAGGATGGCGCGGTCTCCTTGGTCATTAACCTGGGGTCCGGGGCCTTTGAGGCCATTGTGGAGCCAGTGAATGGAAAATTCAACGACAACGCCTGGCACGATGTCAAAGTGACACGCAACCTCCGGCAGGTAATGGCTGAGGAGAGAGAATGCCCTGGAAGGCTCATCTCAGGTGGTTGGGTAGGAAGTTTGTGAAGCAGATGATGGGAGAGGGGTAGACATTCAGGTTTGAATATGTCCAAGTCTAATTTTCTCCCAGTCTTTGCAGTTTCACAAGGAAAATTATTAAAATACGTGTTTCCTCAATACTTCAATTCCTCCTTTGTGCTTGTTATTTAAGAAGAAAATTCAGTTGTATAGATAAAAAAGTTATAAGTGCTTTCATCCCTTTTATTCTGCTTTCCTTTTTATCATTTTCTTAATTACATTTGAATCTTATCATATTATTGTTAAATTCAATTAGGAGCAGCAGTTTGTTTCTGTAGCCTAGTAAATTTTCTTCATTCTTTGAATATATGTTTTTCTTTTTAATTAAGTTAGCCATTGCCACGATGCCATAATTTTAATTCCCTCCATAAAAAGTCTTCCTTTTTCTCTTCCTTTTAATTTACCCTCCCATCCCCAACTTAATTTATTTATTTTATTCTGTTAACATTAACCTCTAGCCTTGGAATTAAGTAGCCGGGATCTTTCTGAACGCCTCTGTTTCTGTTCCCTGATGCGGTGGTCCTACTCTATTGCTCCTGTCTCTACCTCCGAGACTCTTCAGTTGACTGGGAGGCCTGGAAAGTGGAAGGACCCAAATAAAACAGTCAACTTTGGAGCAGCCTCTCCTGGTTCTGTCCGTGCTTGGGAACTCCAGTCGCTTGCCAGTCCTAAGCAGGCAACTTCGTCAGGTGACAATATTCTCAGAAAGCCTTAGCCAAGTGAGGTTGTTTTCAATTTCATAGCTAATAATAATAATAATGATATAATAACACCTTATCAGTCCACATCAGTTAAAAAAAAAAAAAAAAAAAGCATGTTCTATAAAAGCCAAGCCGAGGTGCTGAGAGACTGGCTTTTCCAGGTTGCCATTTTCACTTGGTTTTCTTATTTGTGAATTTGCCAGATACCATTTGTCCTTTATTAATCAGAAAACACTATGCTAATTTCCAGGAAGTGCTTATCAAATTTTCTTCTGCAGTATGATTGATTTAATGCCCTCTGATGTGGATCTGGGAGCATAAGAATTGACAGGTGTTTGCATGTGTTTTCTGCTTGATAAAGTGATTCTCCTTAGTAATGCTAAGCAAATTTTGAAGGCTGGCACATGTTGGACACACATGGTGGTCGAAACACACATTTCTACACTTAGGTATGTCAAGGAAGTCACCTGGTTGGGAAATCCCATTCTATTTGTGGTGAAGCTGCTACATAACACAAGACTTCGAGTCCCTAGTCATCTTAACATACGTTGACTCGACGTTTTAAATTGTCGTTCTATGTTTTCTCCCCAAGGTCAAAGAGCCCTAATGCTCACATATTCATTCAACACACTCCTCCCATTTATACTTACCCCAAAGAGAACTTCTCAACTATAAAGGGAACCCAAACCCGGTTTCCATTTGCTAACATATAAAGGCTTGTTTTGTGTGAGCTACAGAGTCTAGACCAAAAAGCGAAATATGACCTTTTGCCAGTTTTGATTGGCAGGTACAAAATAACACCCTTTAGACATCAGTCAGTGAATGGGAGACTTTTCATGTACTGGGGAGCAGAATCAGGTCATGGTTCTTACCAATGTATTTCTCTGACTTTCTCCTACCCTTCCTTGCCATTCTAGAATGATTCCAAGTTAGCCTGAGAGAGGGCTCACTTTTGTTTCTACTAAAAACACTTTTTCTCAAACAGTCTCAGACTCCACTTAAGTGCTTTAAGTGGAGAGAGAATAGACCACACTGTAATTCCAATGTTGGTTGTGCTGTTTTGGTGAAGGCAGCAGGAGGAAAGCCACCCTAAATGACTTTTGTTCCATGTTCTAAGGCCCAACTCTGCTCTGTGCCCTTGGGCAAGCCACTTGACCTTTCTACACCACCATTTCCATTTACGAAATGGTGATTACAATTCTCCCCAGCCATGTGTGGTAGCTAAATATGCAAAGCACCTTATGTTCCAGAAGGATTATGAGCTCATCCTTGGTCTGGGTATAGATGTGCTGTGACTTGTGCATGATCTACAGGCTGAGCATTCTGTCTCAAAGGTGACTGCATCTGTCTGGTGCCAAGGATGCAGCTGAGAGCAACTCTCTGTTCTAGTCAAGGCTACAGAGGCCTTACAGTATTGGGGTATTTCCTAGCAGAGGGAGTATTATACTTGTGTGAGAAAATGTACCTAAAATCGGACCTTGAAATCCTGACTAAATTTTGCATCCAAGTGCAACTTATTGAAAAAGAGGGAAATGTCTAAAAAGCAAAGTTGATTTTGTAAATGCAGGTATTTTAGTGATGAATAATATACAATTATTATTTTGTCCATTAACAATAACATTTATAACATCTTTTTAGGTTTGCTAGGATACGTTTGTAGGGTTGGGACATCCCTGTCTATTTCCATTAAACGGTAAATAGTTCCATAAATGCTTGTTAACACATTTATGGCAGCCTTATCTGTTTTTTTGGTAAGGCTGAATGACTTCAGTGGCAAGAATTCATCTGAGTAAAGTTTACCTGGGATTTCCTGGAGTGCTTATTACCAAATGGAGCAGAAGTCTCATTTCTTCCTTCATGGATGTCTTCCTTCATGGTTTTGCTTTTTAGCCAAGACAGGGCCAAGCCAAGGGGCTTAACTGGGGCTTCTGATTGAAGGAAGAAATATGGACTAACTGTGTCTGTTTCAAACTATAACTGGAGTTAGAAACCAAGATAGTGAGGCATTTGTATGTTTACATGTGGAGGCAGGGGCTGGGGGTAGGTCTATGACCTTGCCTAAGTCCAAAGACATGCCCACAATATTAATTGCTTTACCTCTGCATGTTACTTTTTGTTTAACTGCAAGAATAAAACTGAGTTTACCATTCTTACAACCTTTCAGCCTCCCAGCTCAGGGTGTGTTGGCAACTTAGCATTTGAAAGTAGCAACAAAGAGACTAATTGTAAGGCTTTCCTAATGATGATGAACCTGCCAGTCCTTCCTGCTATCCATCTAAGAAGTTGCTTGAAAAGCACTGTTCAGAAGGAGGGGGAAGAGAGATGCCCAAGCATTCTGGCAAAGCAAATAAAATAATAACCTCACTGGGTAACACGAAACCTCTAACTTTTTTGATTCATTCTAATAATTCTAAACTGAGAGGAAAGAAAAGAGAATGTTTCTCTTGGGCAACACAAATCCACAAAAATCAGGGAAGTCATGGATCTTTAAACTATCTATGGAAGCCCAGAGTATACTACATAATGTAGCCTTCCTATGCCAGGTTTGGTCTGTAAATATTTTAAGTTCTTTTTGGAAGAAGGTCATGATCGTCCATCCATGTAGTCAGAGTCAGATGTGAATTTTAAAAATTGCAACATATTGGTATTTTCATTTTTTTCTGTTTCTGTCCATATGGAATGGTACACATTGGTGGTCTTTTCTTTCAGAACAGGTGGAGTGTGTTTGTGTTAGAGGGTGGGAAGGGGGCGGGGAGGTCTTCATTCAGAAGAGCCCTGGGGAAGTAAGTATGATGCTAATTCTAACTGGGGTGAAGTCTGATTGGAGAGGTATTTGGATGAAGTGGGGAGTTACAATGGCACGTGGACCACAACTCCTTTCCTGGCTGTGCCCCAGATGGCAAGGTTTTCCATAGAGTCCTGGTCTCATTGTCTTTCCCCCACTCTCTTTTTCTGTGTCGGGTGCATTTTTTTTGAAAAACTAACACAAGATCATTCATGCAATGTGTCATTTTACTAACCAACTGATGTACTAACACCCTAACGACTCATCTTTGTTTTTAGTTCTTTTAATTAACAATCGTTCTGTTCACAATTTTTAATTTCCTTTCTTCCCCCTTCTCCGCAAAGCACTCAGGCATCGGACACGCTATGGTAAACAAACTACATTGTCTGGTAGATATCATTCTTATTGTCTCTTTTTTTGGGTTTGCCGTGTGTTGCCCCCCTTTTCCACCCCAAACCCCCCTTTTATCCTCTTTAGACTCATTTCTTCCTGTTTTTAAAATTTTTGTTGAATTAAATGCAAGCCTTTCTTTTTCTTAAAAAAAATAAAATAAATGGAAGGAGAAGCGCTTGTCCTGGAAATAATATTTGGTCAAGTTTGATGGGGCTGGTTTCCTTTTCTCTAGTTTTCTTTTTCTTTTTTTTTTCGGTTTTTTTTTTAAAGGAAGTGTCTCCATTTAGCTAAATTTATTTTGTTTTCTTATTTTGCAACTTCCAAGTTACAGACTAGGGACAAAAGAGACTTGTAATGAGGACTTCCTTCTCTCCGTGTCTTCCTCTCCCTCTCACTCTTCCTCTTTTCTTTTTTCTCCTTTCCACTCCTTATTCCCTTTTCTCTTTCCCTTTTGTGTGGCCGAGGCTGCCACAGGCGATCTGGGGTAGAAAGTACTTGACTTCCTATGCTCTTCCTTTCCCTCTTTTTATTTACCTCACTCCCCTACTGTGGCCAAAGGGAACTCGACCAGTTGTGTTCTCCATACAACTCTGCATGGCATGTTTCTGTCTCGTGAATTTCCCCTTCAGCATCGGCATCCCTCAGTTTCCTTCTCGTTACTAACAACCTACCAGCCATCTACTCAACTCCACTTTCTTCTCTTTTATTTTCCCCTACTTTTCATTCTACTCTCATCTCTCATACATTTTGGGGTTGGGTTTGGACTTTTTCTTTTCTTTTCTTTTCTTTAGTAAGGGAGGTGGCAGGCAGGGGAAAAGATGACCCTTTCGTTCTGAGTGTTTTTTGGTCCACTTCCATCTTGTCCTTCAGTTTGTTCAATGCATGTATGTGTGAAGTGGATTTTGATTCTTTCCTTTATTTCTCCTCACCCTTTCCCTTTTCCCGTCCCTACTTTTTTCCTTTTGCCTTCTATCTTGGCTCTAGATAATTTTCGCATGGATGTGTCAGTGTATGGTGTGTGCACGCTTTGAGACCCTCTCTTTTCTCTCTGCCCTCTGCTCCTTTCATGGATGTTGGGTGTAAGGGTACTATTTCCTCCCTGTGGGCATTATTATTATTATTATTGTTTTCACTATTATGCCTCGTTATTCCTTTCTTTCTGTTAAAATTGCCTTTTGGTTTGGGTCATTTTTCTCTTGGTGGTGGTGATGGCAGCCAAGGGAGGGCAGGGGTTGGTGTCCTGGGGCAGTCCATGGCATGTGTCATCCATGACTCATCAGAATCCAGACCCTTCTCCTTCCCTCCCTGAATGCATGTTTGTCAGCGTGGTTTAAGCCAAAAAAGGAACAAATAAAAAAGAAAAGAAAAAAGAAAAGAAAAGAAAAAAGGAAAAAAAAAATCAACAACCAAAGACCAACCCCTAACAAACTTCATCATCAAATGTCTCCTTTGCTGTTTCTCACTACCACCGTAAATAACAATCATATAAGAAATAAGCAGTCATTTTTAGTAATGAACTGAGACAAGTGATATCTTCTGAGGATGGTTCCATTTTCTAGCCTGACTGAGTAAAGAGTGTGACCGGGAGAATAAGGTACCCAGCTTGGCAAATCTAACTCTCCCATGAGTCTACAGGGGAATCCTGAAGGCTTGGGATACAGGGAGGCAGACCAGAAAATGGAACTTGGCTGCACTTACTAAAATCAAACCAAATTAGAAAGTACACCTCACCAAAATCTTAATGAAAGTGATGCCACAAGTAGGGGAAGCCACTGGGTTTTTATAGGACTGTAAGGTCATTGTTGGGATTTTTTTTTGTCCCTGTGTCCCTCTACCAGGTGACAATCTCTGTGGATGGCATTCTTACCACAACGGGCTACACTCAAGAGGACTACACCATGCTGGGCTCGGATGATTTCTTCTATGTGGGAGGAAGCCCAAGCACTGCTGACCTGCCTGGCTCCCCTGTCAGCAACAACTTCATGGGCTGCCTTAAAGAGGTAAAGTTCATGAACTCTATTTAATGCACTGTGAAACTCTTTTGTTTAAGAACAAATGAGATTTCTAGATGGATCTCTCCTCTAATCTATTCTATGAGGTGATAAGTTATAACAGAAGAGATTTTGGACTTGAAACCAGATGTCCAGCTTAAGCTGGTTGCATGGTCTTGGGTTGGTCATTTAAGTACTCTGTGACTCTGTTTCCTCTTCTACCTAATAAAGAATCTTATCCCACAGGAAGCTGTGCTTTGTAAGTTACATGCAATAGCACACATGAAAGGCCGTTTGAATAACAAGGGACTAGATGTGTATAAAATTTGATCTTGTGCTTTTGACTTGGCAAGTTGGAAACCTCTAGCTAAAAGTGGCTCAATTTGTGGTAATGTGCCTTGTCTAAAATATAACATATGTATTACTTTACCTTTGCCTGGTCTGGTGTTCCCAAGAGTCTCATTATTTGAGATGAAGGAAAATTCTTATAATGTAACATTAAGACTCAGAAGACGGTTTTCTTCTTTCTTTTCTTTTCTTTTTTTCTTTCTTTCTTTCTTTCTTTCTTTCTTTCTTTCTTTCTTTCTTTCTTTCTTTCTTTCTTTTTTCTTCTTTTCTGAAAGCTAATAGCTGTAGCTGTGGGGGAAAAATGGTGGGGCTTTGCCATTACTCATTTATTACCATTGTACTGATGTGTTGAGACCTCTGTCTGAGAGCAAAGGAGCTTCAGCCAAGTGTAATTTCAATCTCTAAGATCAATTGTTGAGGCAAAAAGAATCAGACTTGATTTGGTAGAATTCTTTCAGAGCACTGCGGCATCAGAACAGTGCACTGCACATTTTGTTTAATCTGAGCTAAACTCGATTGCCTAAGATATCTATACCATTTCCCTGGGGACATTTTTGAGAAACTAACAGTGTTCCTTCTTGTAGACAAAAATCCCTTGTGACATCTTATGAGCCTCCTCTCAGGGCATATGTTTTATTCTTATTATAGTTATTTGAAATTTGTTGAACATAAGTTATATATGAGATGGCATTGCACATGCATTCATTCATGTCCCTGGATATGAGCCTTGTCCAGACAAGAATTGTATCTGTTATGCCTGGCATATAGTAGACAAAATAAGGACTTGTTGAATGGGTCTATTTGTCAAATAATCATTGGTACTTCCTTTCTATGTGCTGTAACTAAACTCAGTGGCTGTTTATAAGCCATGGTCTCCATGCTCAAAGGCCTTGTCATCTAGGAAGGGAGATGAGATCAGTAGTGAATAATTACAGCATAGGACATCATGTGTTCAATGCCACAGGCTAAATGCACTACTATAGTAGAGGAAACACAAACTTTAGGTGGGAGTCAGTTTTAGAGAAATGACATTTGTACTGGGCCTTGTTGTAATAAACCATGTGTGAACTGAGAAGAATGGGTAGAAAGGAGAGACATGACAAAGGAGGGAATGCTTCAATGTAGCTTCATACTGTTCTCAGCCTGAAGGGCAAAATAAGAGGTGGACCCAAAGAGTACCGTTCTCTCTCAGCAGGACGTTTCCCAGGCTTCTGCTGGCTTCATTTCTGAGCGAGCTGTGGTAGGCATAGAGCCCTTCTTCCCTGGGACTTAACTCCTATTTAGGTAGAATAGAGCATAAACCACTCAAAGTCTAATGAAGTCTGAAAGACTCTTAAACACTTTAATCACACTATCTTGGAATTGCACTCTCATCAGAAAAAGATCGGAATATTATTGTTACCAAGGACATGGCTCAGGAGTGACAGGCATTGGCTACTGGGTCATGCTCATATAGGCTTTTAGTGCAGCAGCCCCGAGCGTGGAGTTTCTTCTAAATGGAAGTTAGGACTGATCTTTAGGACTCATTTCTTTTTATATACAAGTATATTGAACTGTCTCTCAATCATGTACTTGGAAAGGAAGGAGCAATTTCCCAACCACAAATCGTCTATCAGTTAATCAGGAAGGATGTCCCTAAACATTTTGAAACAAATCTCATAACAATACCAAGATGTCTCTGATGACTTTATTCATGTGGGACCTACAGTAAATAAAATCTACACACACACACACACACACACACACACACACACACACACACACACACACACACACTTTTACACTGCCCAGAAAGCAGAAGCTACGAAAGTCTGTCAGAAGTGTCACTTAATAGCTTAAAAGTTATAGTCCTGAAAAACAGTGTCAATAATAGAAATAACTGTCATTAGTGATTTTAAAAAAATACAGCCATATCTCTGCTAGCAGCGCAAATATATATAATAAATCCAGACCTGGTTACAAAAAGGAAAGTTCAAAACACTGGGAAAAGAGGCAGACAAGATGAGAACTTTATTAACTCCCACCTCCATCTCTGCTTTGCATGTATAGAATTATATATGCACAAATATATATATATATAGAGAGAGAGTAGACATATATAATGCTACATATATCATTGTAGTATTTTTTTCTTTCTATTTTTACGAGAAAGCAAGGATTTATTGAGAGGACAGAAAAGCTCCACATAGGAGGGGACCAAAGTGGTTGCCCACATTATAGTATTTCTAAGAGATTCAAAAGATGTCTCATTGGTCTGAGTACTTTGTGTTTATATTTAACTAATTAAGTAATTATTTAATTTTAATTTTTTTAGAGACAGAGTCTTGCTCTGTCACCCAGGACGGTGTGCAGTGGCTAGATCATAGTTCACTGCATCTTTATACTCAAGCAATCCCCTTGTCTCAGCCTCCTGAGTAGCTGGAACTATGGGCAAATGCCACCATACCAGGCTAACTTTAAAAAATTTTTTCATAGAGATGGAATCTTGTTAAGTTGCCCAGCTGGTCTCAAATTCTTGGCTTCAAGGGATCCTTCTACCTCCCAAAGTGCTGGGATTATAGGTGTGAGCTATCACATCCAGCCTGTCTGAGTACTTTGAACAGATAACTTTGAGTCTAATGTAGCCCTAGCATGTTATTTCTTTCCATTTAATTACTGCAATTCACTTTTCTGTGACCAGGTCTGGGAAATTCTTCTCTTATTCTTGGTCTTTGTCTTTGACAAATCAGTGAACAGCAAGAACTTCCAGCTATGTTGGGATTTAGCTCCTTGATAAATCCTACTCACTCACTTTATCTAACCATATTTCTTCTTCCCTTTCCTTCCTTCTTGCTGCCATTAAAAAAACAAAATATCTTGCTCTTTGTGGCCCTAAGTTGTGTTAAACCAACCGGAGTGCTTTATGTGTAATTTTTTTCAAATCAGGGACAAGGTGAAGGAACTATAGGATTTCTGCTTCAGATCATCAATACTTCTTTGTATGTAGCACAAAATAGGTATAATCTTTGTCACTATAGCTATTTCAAACCTAAAAGCTAAGTTCTGGCTCTGATATTGGCCAAAGAGATAGTATTTTACCTTTGTGTGTATCTCCTAACTTAATACCACTATAAAAGTCACAGCAAAGAGTGTCTTAAGTTGTCATCAAACTATTGTGGTTCTCCACACACCCTTGTTATCAATACAAGATTTGTGTCCACTTAAATTACTCCAAGTCAGCATATTATTCTTCATGTTTCCATGTTTTAACGTGTTTGTCTTATTTTTGTTCTTGTTGTGTCCCTAGCTTCTAGAATAGTTCTTGGCACTGAATAGCTCTCAATCAGTACTTGCTGTGTGAAATCAGATGTTTGTAAATGGATACATATCTTTTTTTTTTTTTTTTGAGTTGGAGTCTCACTCTGTCGCTCAGACTGGAGTGCAGTGGCCGCTCCCGGCCACCGCAGCCTCGACCTGCTGGGCTCCGGCGATCCTTCCGCCTCAGCCTTCCAAGTAGCTGGAATTACAGGCATGCGCTACCACGCCCAGCTGATTTTTTGATTTATTGTAGAGATGAGGTCTTGCTGCCCAGGCAGGTCTCGAGCCTGCGGGCTCAGGCAATCCACTCACCTCAGCCTCCCAAAGGCGCGGGATTACAGGCTGAGCCACCGAGCACGGCTGATACATATCTTTTTTAGGTGCTATTTACCACTTGACTTTCCTGGAACAACTAAAGATCTTCTTTACATGGCAATAGTTGAATCTTTCTTTTCTTTTTTTTTGAGTTGGAGTCTCACTTTGTCACCCAGGCTGGAGTGCAGGGGCACACTCATGGCCACCCCAGCATTGACCTGCTGGGCTTGGGCGATCCTTCCGCTTCAGCCTTCCAAGTAGCTGGAACTACAGGTGCGTGCTACCATGCCTGGCTAATTTTTGGATTTATTGTAGAAATGAAGTCTCACCAAATTGTCCAGGCTGGTCTCAAACACCTGGGCTCAGGCAATCCTCTTGCCTCAGCCTTCCAAAGTGCTGGGATTACAGGCTTGAGCCACTGCATCCAGCCAATAGTTGAATCTTTCAAGGACCCCCCTTAGCTATCTGATATGAGGATATCTGGATCATTATATAAAAAGCAAGGGTAAGGGGAATGGATTGGACTGTTCTCTAGCAAGAACAGGATACAAAAGGTTTTGAGAAGGGCATCATAGTATGATAAATAGAATACTGGATTTAAAATTAGAAAACCTGGTTAGGCATACCTGCTTTATCATTGGATGTGTGGTTTAGAATACACCATTCATCTTATTTGAGTCTTGGTTTTCTAACTTATCACATGGAGATAATAAAACCTCTGCTGTGTTCTTCTTAAGAACAAATGAAGTAACATACATAAAAGTAAACCTATACAGCATTACAAACTATAATGGTGTTTTGCTATAATAGTTATTATTAAGGATTATTAATAAGGATTCTTATGCATATTATAAAATATTTTATGAATATAAATATAAGTTGATAGGCACTCACATATGCAATCCTGATGTTTCTCATATTAGCAAATCACTTTCAGAAAAAAAAATATTTTGAGATTTGTCCTACTAAGATTCTCTCATATTTGTTTAAGAAGGGAAAACCCATCCCACTCACCCTCAGATATTACCTTGTTTGTTTTATTTTGGTCA